GTTCAAAGATTTCCGTAGTTCTTTCGAGAGAGAAATTCGGAAAGAGCTCAGGGAGATCAAGCTGAGTCTCGATCATTTCAACAAAGACTTTGAGGATATGAGGGCTGATGTCGCCATTCTAAAAAAAGAAAATGCAAGCTTAAAAAAACAGCAACGGTGACCTCCGAGAGGAGTGTAAAGCCCTGAGAAGCCAAGCCGAACAGAGTGAACGTCGGCTCACGGGCTGTGAACAATACTCTAGAAATCGAAACATAGAGATTAAGGGTGTTCCCCCAGTCGAAAATGAAGATCTGGCAGCAATCCTACAAAAAATCGGCAATTTGATTGATGAACCAATCCTTCCCTGTGATATCAATGTATGTCATCGCGTTCCTGCTGGCAATTCATCGTCATGCCCGCTCATCATTGCACAGTTTAAGTATCGTTCGAGACGGGACGCTGTAATCGAGAAGGCGCGGAAGAAACGGGTATCAACGGCCGATCTAGGTCATGCTACACGCGCCCCTGTCTACGTCAACGAACACTTGTGTCCGGAGCTAAAAAAACTGCTTGGCATGACAATCGCCAAAAAGAACGAACTAAAGTGGAAATCTGCGTGGACGAGGGGAGGAAAAATCTACGCACGAAAAACAGATGAGCCACGGGTTGTTCATATCAGTAGCACTAGCGATCTTGCCAAGATGATGTAGCAACTTTGGCATATCTTTTCTTGTGGTCTCGTTTCTTCATCATGGCTGCTCACGCACATCTTACGCCAAATGAAATAACCACTCTTTTTACATCCACTAAAGGAAAATCTATATCTTTCTTTCATTCGAATCTGCGTTCTGCGCGTAATAAAGAGGACGAACTCTGTGCGTTGTTCCAAGACTTTGGATTCTCGTTCGACGTAATTATGCTCACCAAAACCTGGTACCAAAGTGAGGAGGAAGTACTAAAACTGAATAAATACAAAACGTTTTTCTTAAATCGTGATTGCAAAAGGGGTGGAGGAATATTGATCTGTGTAAAAACTACTTTCGACTGCGAACTTGTTACTGAGTTTTCTAGCATATGTGTTGATTTTGAGATTCTGACGCTGAAGTGTGCGCAAAATATTTTTAGTGTGGTGTATAGGCCCCCAAGTAGAAACTCGAACAATTTTTTGTGTTATTTTGATAAGTTTCTAGATTTTTCAAGTGCAAACAAGTATAATCTTTTTGTGGGTGGGGATTTTAATGTCAACATGCTTACTGCCTCAAGTGTGCAATGTTCATTTAAAAGTGTCCTTGATTCAAACGACTGTGTCAACGTCATTACATCGCCAACACACGTTACATGTGTCTCATCCACGCTTATCGACCTATTCATAACCAATACCGATTTAGGTAGCGCATATGGCGGTGTCATTGGTGTGCAGATAGGTGATCATTTGCCAATATTCATGATCGCGAGCAACGTCAATGTTATACATTGCGCTACACTTGCAGGCATTCGTGTGTTTCGAGATATAAATTCTCAGACACTCGAAACCTTTAGGTCCTTGATTGTTGACGTAAACTGGAACCCAGTATACAACTCAAGTTCCGCTGATGACGCGTATATCAATTTTCTAGCTCTTTTTTTGGAAGCATATAACAGTAGTTTTCACTATAAACCAATCCAACAAAAGAAAAACATTCATAAGCCGTGGGTAACCCAAGAATGTCTCAAGATGATTCGTATGAAAAATAAATTATACCATAAATTCATAAATACTAGGAAGCCTGGTGATTTAAAAAAGTTCAGGACACATAGAAATAGACTGAATAAAATGCTTAGGCAAGCAAAGAAAAATTATTTGCACTCTTTATTTAATGAAGCCACAATGTCAAGAGTAGACAAAACATGGAAAATAGTAAATCAACTCCTAAATCGATCTCTTGAAAACAATAGCATTCTAGAAATTAAAATTGGTGATAGAATATTACGCGGACAAGAACTCGCAAAATCGTTTAACAACTATTTCGCTAATAGTGTTCATAGCAGTCATAACCCTCTGTTGACAAGCTACCTAGAAACTCGCAATGAAAGCAGTGCCTTTTTTTCAGCCTACTGACGAATACGAAGTTTTCAGTACATTCAATTCCATCCAAAATAGTAAATCGAGTGACATTGACGATATTCAAATTTGGCCTGTCAAATACGCTCTGGACTTATTAGCACCGGTATTATCCCACATTTACAATGTTGCAATTTCTTCGGGCAATTTTCCGCGTCAAATGCAAATTGCCAAGGTGGTGGTTATTTTTAAAGGTGGTGACAAAAATGATCAATCCAATTACAGGCCTATCTCTATTTTACCCGTCTTCTCTAAGTGCCTGGAAAAACTCATCCACTCCAGAATTTCTTCGTTTTGCAACCAATTCTCTATTCTGACCCTCTCGCAGTATGGCTTTCGAAAGGGGCGTTCGACTGAACTTGCCTTGCTAACCCAGAAAGAAATAATCTTGAAATCATTTGAAGAAAAGTGTACTACTCTCGGTATATTTGTGGACTTTTCTAAGGCATTTGAGCGCATTAATCATGTCACTCTACTTAAAAAGCTTGAGTATTACGGCTTTCGTGGGATAACTCTTGACGTTGTGGCTTCATATTTAGAATTTCGTCAACAGTGCGTTGTCATCGACAATCAGCGTTCAGGTTTACAGTCATTAGCTGCCGGTGTTCCTCAGGGAAGTATACTGGGTCCTCTACTTTTTAATATATATGTCAATGATATTGTAAAAATTAGTACGGAGGCAACTTACGTTATATATGCCGATGACACTAGTTTATTTTTTTCTGCTCAAGATAAGGAAAAACTCGCGCAAGTCGCAAATCATACTCTTAACTCGCTTCACAAATGGAGCTCTGTAAATTCACTTCCTATTAACACTTCCAAAACTAAGGCAGTGCTCTTTAAACCGAAGAATAAGTCTGTGGTTTTCGACTAGAACCTTGTTCTGGGGCCCTCCATCATTGAACTAGTACCTAGTACTAAAACCCTAGGCGTAATTTTTCAGGAAAATCTGTCATGGGATATTCACATTGAAGGTCTCATTCGCAAGCTTTCAAAAGCCGTTGGCATTTTTAACAGGTTTCGCTTCGACCTCCCAGTAAAAATTAAACTCCTTTTATACAATTCTCTATTTTCTTCACATTTAAATTATTGTCATCTGGTTTGGGGAACCATAACATTAACCAATATAAATAATCTTCATGTCTCTCAGAAAAAGGCCATACGGAGTATCGTCAATGCCTTATATTATTCTCATACACAACCCCTTTTTGAGACTCTGCGTATCATTCCAGTTACCAACCTGTATGACTACGCAATAACTTTAAGATACACAGCGGGCATTAAACTGAACAATCCTTTATTTCAAGAGATCGCTGGTCTAGCACGAAGTATAAATTTTTATTCTACTCGTAATGAGGATGTCTGGAAGGTACCATACAGCAGAACAAACTATGGAACGCAGATGTTGAGACACCACCTCCCATCATTATTGAACAATCTAAGGAGCAACAACTTCACCATAGAAACACTAACACCTCGTGCCATCAAAAATATGTTTCTGTCGCTCTCTTATTTTTGTATTGTGCCTCATGATATCAGTGTTCTACTTCCCAGTTACAAGTGTCTACATGTTTTTTTGTTATGTTTTTTTTTTACTCGTCTTCCTGCTATATAATTAACGATTTTGTTTTCATTTTCCTACAATTTGCTTATCCGCCTCTGCCAAGGAAACGGGGGTGGGGCCCAGTCAAGCCAACATGTGTTGGCTTTTTGCCCATGTTCCTGTCGTCTGTACATATAGACGAATTAAACTGATTCTGAATGTAATATGTGCGCTAGAAATGAAGTCGGTATGGTTCGGAAAGTTACGGATAAAAGCACCTGCAAGCAGAGTGCACAATGTACTGCCAAGCGCTTCACATACTCTAAATGCCAGCTGCTAGTCTCATTTCGCTCACATCCTACCATAAAAGTGGCGAGGTCATCGCCAGTCTGCTCCAATTCTAAACCGTACATTTCCGACGGCCTGCGTATAGCGCTTTAACTGCACCGACACTGATATTTTTTTCGTTTAACTGTATATTCTATACTGTTAAAAACGCGCCTAATGAAAGAGCACCATATAACAAAAGTCCACCGAAAGTGCAGCAATTGACGTCTCCGGTTGACCTTTGAAGTACATGACAACTCACTCGAGAGCAAGATGCGGTTAACAAAATATACCGTTTTAATATTAGTAACTCGATGCACGAACACAATTCAAAAATGAGTCCTGAGCCATCTGAATAAGACACTTTGGTACCTGATGTTGTAGCTTTCGGGTGTTGCCCTAAGAGCATAAAAGAAATGAATAATAAACTCTGAACAAAAAAAAAAATTACCACATTTCAGAATCAGCTCCCCCCCCCCCCCCCCCCCCGCAATAGCGAGGAAATATTCACATTTTGAGCTTTTACTTGGCTGTTTTGAATTTTTAGTATCATGATTTACCTAACCTTCACACCAAGTCGCCTGCCCGACTTCAGGTCAGCCCGGAGACGCTGCTGTCGGACTGGCTGCGGACAGATGCCCGAGCTCACCACGAATCCGGTCTCTGAGGTCGCGCAGTGCTCACCCGTGGTGTGGGCGAACGGGGGCTCGTTTTTAACGTTAATGTATACGCGAGCAAAGGGTTTGTCAATTAATTATTTTACACTTTCCAGTTCTTTAACTCCACCAGGACCCATAAAAGTGGCAGCCCTTACGGGAGGATAAGTGGGACGCAGAAAAATAGAAATCGATCAAATATTTCTTTTACTTTACGAAGAACCAAACACAAATCAAACACTTGGTCACAGTTACTGGGTCTTAATTCACGACGCGTCTAATACAATAAATGCAGAAGCAATTCGTATCATATTCAAGTATATATGCTCCAGCAAATTGCAGGTTTCTATCGTACTGAAAATTAAAAAGAACAATGAAAAGAGATCACGAGCACCTCATTCAGTCCATAGAATACTCTTGTTTCTCCTTTCCTAAAGGAACCCTTGGTCCTGAAAAAAATCGAAATATCACGTATACAGAACTGTAGTGGGAACCCTGACCCGACACGCCATTATTCATCTCTGGGAAATATAAAAAAAGCACGGTTCAACTGGATGTAGAAATATAAATTCTGCAATGTAAAAAGTCGGGCTACCTGGCACAAGGTCAAAAATCTCAAGAAAAATTGTACAACTATTACAAAAATTAAAGTACAGTGTAGGAGCGTAGGATTATGCTGCCACTGATTACATTTATCTGGGATACTAAAGAGTTTTGCTAGTAATGCTGCAAATGTTTCACAGATAAACTGTAAGCTTAGTTCAAACTCGAATTATAACGGCCCGCACAAAAATGAAGAAGGTTATCGATGTCGCGCCTGTGTGCATTAGTAGTTTTCTAATTACAACAGTTTTGACCATGCGGAGCATGATACAACATCGGTGTTAAAGTAAGGAAAGTTTAGCAGTCAATATTAAGAACTCTGGGTGCTTACAAATTGAGCATGTCTGTAAACTTGGCGCCGACAGTGCCAGCAAACTGCTCCGCTGCAGGCGTGAGAACAAAGTGCGCATCCTTCTCTTTCTCCTGGTATACTCCCAGGAGCAATCCTTGTTTCTGCGAGACGGTCGGAACGTAAGGACGATTTTAGATACCTTCCGTGTTCGAATTTTATACGGTGGCACACCCGGTGTCATTAACTCAGACGAAAATATTCTGCAACATTTGCGCATACTACTCGTTTTTGAGTAAATCTACGATCTCCGTCGTACACTGAATAATGGCGAATTCCACGGGGCGTTTTGGAGCACGCCGGGATCAGTTGACCAGATGCGGAATGGAGCACACGATCAGAACGGGTTCGCGCCGCGTACGGATCCCCAGTGGCATATGACCACTGCTCCGGGATCGACGGATGCCTTCCCGTCATTAACCTGCCCGGGAATCCCCTTTCCGCGGCCGCCGCGGTCGTTTCGAAGACGTTTTCGCAATCACGGCGCTAACACGTGTCCGACGCACGAGCGGCAGGAATGGCTCAGGAGCTTCTAGCAAAGACTGCCGGAATGCCGGAAGCTGCTCGAGCAACCTGACGACGAAGTGTCGTCATGTAGCAGCAGTAGTAAGGCGGACAGTACAGGCGGCACCTCCTGAGCGGCCATTACGAATTCTTCTGAGGCGAGATGGGAGAGATCAGGCGAGATGTGCCGCGAGAAAGGAAGTCACGTGTGTGCGCCGAGGACGGGTCCGGCTGGTTTCCGATGGAATCCGCCGAAATCGGCGGAGCGACTTTTTCCGGATCCAGATCAAAATCTGGAGCGGGAGCTAATCCAAAACGACCAATGGTACACGTTCGTCTCGATCCCGATGGCCCCAGAGAAATAGGATCGCTCCAGAAAAGTCGATCCCGGCGCGCTCCAAAACGGGCAGTGGAATTCGCCATAAGAAGGGCCTCGACGTGCTGCCTTTAAAGAATACCCTTGACATTACGGTATTTTATACAACAGTGTCAAGTCTATCACTGCTTTTAAATACAATTCCAAGGGCTTCGTAACTCGAAGATTTTATTGCATCAGGGGTAGTGGTATGCCTTCTTCAACATGTGGGTCTGGTTCTCTGCGTCTTTCTAACGCCACACTGCTTCCAAAAAAGGAGCATCTAGGTAAACTTGGTAACACAGAGGGTTTTATGTATGAGAAATTTTTGTTCTAACTGATTTATTGTTTTCCGGCATTGATTGTTTGTGCTGGACAAAAAAAAAATCATATCTGGGAGGTGCGTATTCCCATCTCCGATGACCAGTCAATTGACCCGAATGCATAGAAAACTTTAATATACAGATAGGCAAACAAACGAAGATAAGCGATATGACTCCTAAAAAAACAAGTAGCCACACGGACATTTCAACGTGGTCTGTGTTTAGGGACAACACAAAATAAAGCTGTATAAGTGTTTATTAAGCTTATGATTCTATCCTTCAAGGTCAGCTTCAATTCGTCATTTTTCAGTTTTTATTTTAAACCGTTTAGGTGATAGTCTTGTTATCGAGCTGTGTGAAGTAAAGGTATTATTTCATTATCAACGCCCAGACCGAACCATACCCTGACTGAGCAAAGCTTAGCAACGGTGGTAACAAGGGGCGTGGTTAGTAAAAAAGACCAGTAGATGTAGACATGTGACAAAGCAATGCCAGGACACGCTCTGGTGCAGAGCCGTCACGTGCCTTGCTCCAGCAATTTTATGATCTGAAAAGAGTCAGTTGGTTCGCCGTCTGCCAAGTTCTGTTGAAGTGAAGATTATTATTGATCAGTGTATAACCTAAATACCAAAAAAGTTCATGCACCTCCATTTAACTCAGACTCTTATCTTATTCACGGCGACCACTCCTAACGCATTTGTAACAGTATAATAGCCCCAGTATTCCACATAATTACTGGAGGCAAACGACTGCCTTATATGCTTGACAATAGGCCTCTGCCCGAAAACTGATACAAATTAGATACATAGAGTTCAATACTTGGCAACATATTTTCTCAGAACACGTTCGCTATTTTAATGTTCCTATATTATTTAATACATAATTCAGTGGTTAAGCCGAATGGACGAGAGAGACTATACAACTGTAGACAAGCACTTAGAATGCAGACAATATTCATGCATTTTACATTAGCAGCAGAAACCGTTTACCGTTCTGGCTTCCTTTCGTTCGACTTTTGAGATAAGTTATTAAGCATAAATTTATTTTGAAATGAAAAACGTTCCTAATTAATGGTTAATTATAATTTCAGAGTGTGAGAAATCTCACGAAAAAAGTATGTTCTCCCCTTGGGCTGAAGTAGGCTTTCCCGCGAAAAACCGGGCAACATTGTGCAGTTTGCTGTTCGTTCTCCTGCTATAGCGCCGCGTCGCATAGTCAACCAACAGCTCGTATACTAGTTCACAATTCAAGTTTGTAAATATATGCCGATAGAAAGCGGAGGTTTTGTATGTCATATTCGGTGTAATGGCTCGCTGACAAATGTTCGTGAAAATGAAGAAAACAAAACAACAACAACAACGAGGTATTCTGGGAAAGAACTTTAATAAAATCAAACAGTTTTGATGTACGGGCGAATATTATTTAAAAATCTGTTTAAAAAATATTTAGAGTAGAAATTCACTACAAAGCTTTAACACTATTCAAACCGTCGTTACGATTCCTTGGAAATTTTTCTCTCGTGTTTGCAGTTTAAACCTCTTTTTCTCACGGGCCATTTTGGCAGGGGTCATTTTGTTGGCAACCATTTAGTCTTGGCGGTGTAAACGAATGCGTACCGTTCAGCGCGCCTTGAGCTTTTGCATTGCACCACCCCTATAGTGGTGCAATGCAAAAGCATTGCACCACTATAGGGGTTTAGTTACTTTGTGCGATAAAATAAAAGCAATGGAGGTCTTATCAAATGGCAGTTCCATAATTGTGCATGAAGTTTTGTTTGGTATTTATAAACAAACAGTGCCATCTTCGGTTTCAACTCGTGACGGACCTTAGGGAGGTGCTCATTTAAAGTTAAAAGTGGAATAATACACTTTAGTATTATTCCATTTGTTTTGCTATGTGGTATTTCCTCGCCGCATTAGTTCTTGCAATGTTGGCCACTGTATTCTTTTCTCTTGCCCTTTCATTCGTATTAACTTTGCACTGTTTTCTTCGATCGACTTGCCGGGTCCTGTCCCACAAACCTAGCGTGGCCTGGACAGACCCGTACATGTCTGTACATGTCTCTGTCACATAATAATTGTAAAATAATTTAATATTAATATTTTTATCATCATCATTATTATTATCATTATCATGACTATTTTCATTATTTTTGATATTATTTTTTTCTTTTTATGATTATTATTATTATCGATTGCAGATTGCCTAGTAACGTAATATCCAGAGAGATATCCCACCATAAATTGAAGATAGATTTGGTGAAAATAACAAGTTGACTAACTTCCAGTTTGCTCTAAAAAAGTTGCAAAATGAAGTTTCTAGATTTTCTGGTCAGCAAAGGCTTTTGATCGCAGGACGGAGCAATGAAACAAAGACGACTGTCCTTCACGCACATAAATACTCGCCTATTTCCTGCCGTTGGTAAGTAACACCATTTGTCGAGGTCACCATTGGACCGTGTCCTGAAATCACTAGATTCGGTGTTTATAAAAAATAGCAAATCATTTTAAAATTACAGGTACATTATCTTTCAGGACAGAAATATTTCTCGGAATATTACGAGGTGCACTTGTTTTATGCTTTGTTTTTGTAGTGAAAATTTATATTTAAAGCTGTTTCTAGTTAGATTCTCTATTGAAGCCACGCTTGAATGCCCACGAAGATAATACGGCGCCGGCGAAAAACAGCTAGCTCAAGTGAGGGGTTCTTGTAGGTAAACATTTGTTAGCACTTTAGAAAAACAATTAACTGTGCGAGAGCTATTACTCTGTGATTGAGAGATATGTTACTTGCCTGACACGTCATCGAGGTACTTAGCCGCCGTGCAGCTAAAATGCCAGTTGAGCCCACACGCGGTCCCGTCAAAGTTTTCGCAACACAGCGGCTCAGCATTTGGCTAATTCTTTGTTTTTAGGTGCCTCGACGGTGAGCATCCAAACATCTGCCGCGCAAGGGAACGTCGCGCCATTTTATAGCCTTGCTCTGGCTGTAATGATGGATTGGATCGGATTGGGAGTCGACTCAGTAAATTCAACGACATCGAAAGGCTAACGAAAATTGACATTCTAGTTTTGATTTCAACTTTTGGAGTGATTGTACGTAGAAAACACACTACAGCTTAACGAAATAAAGTTAGAAACAATATTTTGATTTAGAAAGCAAAAGAGGAAAATAGAAGCAAGATCGACGACACGGGCTTTGAATATGAAACAAAACGCTTACTGCAACCATAAAAAGGTGTCAAAATAGTAAAGAGTAGGATATGTTTAGTAGAGTTGTGAAGTCGTTCTATAGACTATGTTTTCACGCGCGTAAGCTAGTTAGCCTGTGGGGATATTTTTTACAATTTTAGAGAGGTGATATGACTTTATAACAAACTGCATGCAGCTAGTCCAGAAATGCTTACCGTTGTTCTGACACACGGTTATCGAAACTAGTACTAAACATATATTGAGCAAATTAAATTTCTTTGGGCGGATAAGTCAAGCATATGTGCATGCGTACGCTGCAGTTTTGTGAACAATTGCAAAATAGTTCGCATCCGAAACGGGAAAGGGCGCAGCTTGTGCTGTCGGCGTTCAGTGAGGGCTGCTGAATCCATAACACGGTAAAATAATCTTATGCGTAAAACTCCGGTGTTTAAGCTTGGGTAGTTGTAGTGTGCGTGATCTTCTCTTGCACCAAGAGCTCACTGTCTCGAACAAATTTTTTAGACGGTAAATTAAGTAGATATTCTTCAGATCTTTTTTATACAACCTTTTCAATCGATACCCATTCACCACATAGACTAACTAGAATAACCGCTCAGCGGTAGCAAGTCAGTTCAAGTGAACGCCCCTGTCAGGTTGGAGGATGAGCACGCGATGCCAGGGGTAGCAAAAGTTTCCCGTGTAAGATAAAAAAAAGTGGCAACATATACACATTGCAAAGGTTCCTAGCCTCGCATTGTTGAAAGGGATTGAATGAATTCATAAAAAAATGTCCTATGTCGCTACAGAAGCAGTCCGTAGTTTAGCAAGAGTAAGTTTTCTTGTCAAGTACAGTGATTTTGCAGCAGACCGCTCCTCATTCAAAATCTGCAGAACATTCTTTTCGACGCTGTATTTGGCACAATGATGCAGATATCCTCGTAAAGCAGTGGTTCTCAAATGCGGGTCCACGAATGCATTCTAGAGGTCCGCGAAGCTCTGCCTCATCAGTCAAGCCCAACAATAAAAGTTTTCTTTTTTTTTTCAACTTGAGAAGAAAAGTTCCGATTTCCGGGTGAGTTTTCTCGTGTGTATGTCAATGAGAGAGGTCTACCTCACACAGCCCGTAGTTATTTCCATTTATTAAATAATTATCATATTTAACCTATACCTTTACCTTCCCATGACAACGAACAAGGTCCTCCATCATCTCCGCCGACCTACAAGGGGTCCGGGAAACATCAATGGTTGAGAACCATTGTCGTAGAGTACTAGACATGCACCGCACTGACGGTCTAGTGATGTCATTGTGAGCACCTTGTACGTTGCAAGCCTGGGAGAGTGAAGAAACATTCTTACAAGAAGAGACTTGGTTCTTAGTGAATCTTTTGTGATGAAGAACCTAGTTGGATTGCTAATTCTGCATAAAACCGAAAACAGCTAACAAGCCTTTGGAATATAAAGCATACACTAAAGACTGCTTGTCCTTCACTCCTTGTGTATTCACCGAAAATTACCAGATAGTTTCTGCAAAAACTCCTTGTGCGACACTTTTCTTCTATTCACTGAAAATTGCCTGATAGTTTACGACTGCAATCAACGTAGCGCTCTAAGTGCGTGTCGAAGCCAGACATAGGTTCCGGCATAACAATAAACTCTGTTAAACGGCTAAATATTCCCCGTGACTATTCACATGCTCACGTTAGGCACAACCTCAGATTGCCGATTTTATCGTTACATTTCAAGAAACCCTCGGTCTCGATATTGAGTGAGCTTCCTCCTTTATTCAATTTTTCGGGTGTACGTCTGAGTGTTCTGCAAAAAATGCGGCAAGTGAGCCTTTTTACACGTGGCTATCTATATATATATACACGTGGCAAATTCAGCTGCTTTTAATACTCTTTGTTTCCCATAGTCGCGTATTTTCGCAATGCTGAGTTGGAGAACAAGAAATATTCATTGTTAGTTAATATGCAGAAGACAACAACACAGTAATCGAATACCGATTCTTTCGAGCTAGTTCTTTTTAAGAAGGCTGCAGCCATTGAACGAAAAATATGGCAAAACACATAATCCTTCCAATTATACTTTGTCATGCTCAGTATAAAACATGGATGCATCATCCTCTCTAAGGTTTGAGAACTTGCACCACCTAGCCTAAGTCTAAAATGATCAGCATATGACACCTCCAGCCCCTCTAAGACCAATCTATTCCACCTAACTATGACGTGTGACGTCACGTGTGACGTCACACGTCGCATAATGCTACGCGCGGTTGCGCCGACGCCGCTCAACCCGCAAACGGGCGCCTAAGAGCTGCGCTCTGAAAGAACAATTAAAAAGTACGAAGGGTTTATTGAAGTTGTAATATCATTCAGATGACGGAAACGCAGTTTGTTACTAATGCACAGTTTGCTACTAATTCAGCACGTGTTTTTCGTTCCATAACTCCATGATTCGTTCTTGTTGTCTGTTTTGATTGTTTTATTTGGCGTATATTAGCATCCTTTTGGTGTTTTGTCAAGCTGATTCACTCTGTGTGCTTCATAGCATTGACAATATGCAATACGTGCCCTATAATAGCAGTTTGCAACGTAAACACGTATTATATATGTGCATTTGGCTATTTAAGCACACGGATTGACGCTGTGGGTTCCAAACAAAAAAAACCCGTAAGATGTATTTCTCCATCTGATTGTAAAACGTCCCAAACTTTTATTCTGTCACAACCCCCCCCCCCCCCCCCCCCCCCCCCGCTAAGCAAAATTTCCTCATATAATCGAGCGCAAAGAGAAAACGCATTTGCGTTTTCCCATGGTAATGCGTTACCAGAAGTCAAATTTAGACTGTTCGCTGTTTGCTTCAAAGTGCAACAGCACACTAACGCCATTTGAGCCTCTAGCGTTTATTGCAATAACTCTATGAACACACTTTTTGCGAAATAATTACTTTTTGTAAAATTCAAATTGAAAACTAGCGCCACCTGCTTCTCGGCATGTGCAAGTCTGGATAACACTGGTGTACGGACCGGCGACCGTCGAGGCCAGAGAAGAACGAACACACACACGCGCCTGGGTCCGGGTGGAACAAAAGTAACTTCGTCTGGCTCTTTACTCTCTTATATGTATACAACCTAATGGTAGCGACACCTACCACAACACACCCCTTTCTCAGAGACATCCCTCGTGGAAGAACGAATCAGGACACACGCCCTCACTACCAGTTCAGTCTCTTCGGAGCTACTACTCGACGCCAGATCTCGTGCGTCGAGGAGTTTGGATCCACATATTCGCTGGTGCCTGACTTACATCAGGTCTCGGACTTGCCCTTGGCTCTGCGGGAGCTTCCTCGGCAGAAGGCTGCGGAGAGGGAGCTGTAACCAGTCTTGGTTGTTCAGAATCTTGGGGTTGCAGGCCCTTGGCTCCATCGGCAACAGAAACCGGCAGAAGCGGAGGTGGCAGGACGGGAACTGGCTTTGTAGTGTAGGCTGCAACGCACCCACAGACCCATTCTCCTCATCAAAATAAAAGAGATGGCTCGAGGCGCAGCACGCGCACGCGCCTCGGAGAGCGCGTGCAAGAGAATGCTCTGAAGCCGCCATCACAGGCAGACACGTCGTTCGCTTGTCTCGTTCCATGTCCTCATTTTAAATAACGTGGCAGGGCCTCGCGGCCCCCCACTTATTTGGTGACCCGGTCGAGGACCTTGGACAACGGCGAACCCCAAGGAGCAGCAGCCGGATCCCCGGCTTCCATCTCGTCGGTTGCAGTCCGACTTCCGCCGTACTATGACAGAAACCCGAGGGTCTGGTTCCTGCAGGCTGAGTCCCAGTTTCATCTCGGCGGTGTGACGAGCCAGGAGAACAAGTATCCTCATGTCGTCTCGGCGCTGTCGCTGGCAGCTGCCAACGAAGTATACGACATCCTTGCGCAACCCTCGGCCACAGCTTCCTACGACCAGCTGAAGGCGGCTTTCCTGCAGAGAACCGAGGCATCAGATCGCACCCGCCTTCAAGTACTTCTTTCGGCGGAAGAACTCGGCGATCGACGTCCGTCCCAGCTGCTAAGGCGGATGACTCAGCTCCTTGGAGATCGCGCCAACACGATCGGCGACGCTCTGCTGCGGGAGCTATTTATTCAGCGCCTGCCAACCAACGTACAGATGGTGTTGACCGCCGCTACGGCGCTCGACCTCACAGGCCTCGCAGCCCTGGTGGACGCCGTTATTGAAGTTGCCACCCCATCCGTCGCCAGCGTTACATCGGCGGCAGAAGACGGTAGCGAAGCTATGCCTGCCCTGCCAGGCACTCCATCGTTCGACGGAAACCTCGAGCAGTTTTGCCAGTGGTTGGAACAGAGTGTTACCGCAGGAACTCACCGGCGAGATCGTCCACGGACTCAACAACAACGTGGACGTTCAACATCTCGTCGGAGAAATGCTGACCATACCCGCTCGGCAAGTTCAGCGGACGTCTGCGTATACCATTGCTGCATTGGTTCCGACGCCCGGCATTGCCTTCGGCCTTGCTCCTGGAGCAAACCCATAGAGTCAACGAAAAGTCAAAACCTGCCAGGAAGTCGCCTATTCTACATCGCCGACTAGACCACGGGAACCCGTTATCTCGTCGATACCGGGGCTGAGGTAAGCGCTGTTCCTGCAAAACGCACGGATCGATCACAAACGCCCATCTACTACCTTCGGGCT